TGTAGTTTGACTGTAGGCTGTTAAGCTTTTACAAGTAAAATTCTTACATAGCCATATCATTTAAAATATTTTTGGACACCCAGTGCCATACAAAGCTGTTTGGAGCGCTAGGTTGCTTTATTTTTGTTTCTGCGAACAATTGGGATGCTGTTGGAGGTGAGGAATTCTTACTTCCTGCTTGCTTGGTATATTTTTAGCTCACCAAAACCAAACAAGTTGCAAGAGCACTGTTTTACCCAGGTGACAATTTCCTTCCTTACTATACTTTAGTGGAGAGCTAAAGAGAGTTTTGATTGCAGTGTAGTCAAATAAAATAGAAATGAACTCTTCCTGAAGATATTTCAAACTGGTGAGGTTTTAGTACTTAGTTTATGAACACTTGCATGAACTCATGTCAACAGCCCAGTGTGGCTACAAATAGCACATGGACCCGAGGAGCTTGGTCTGCAGCTGTTGTGCCTGAGCACACCTAGCAGCAGAGCTTGCAAGGCATTGTCGCTACTCAGTGGCAATTTTTAAAATTCAGTTTTAAAGCTGGAGAGCTCTCTTGGCATCTTGACTAGCTCATTAGTTTCATGTGGCTTAGCACGGAAGAGGGCTGTCTTCACCAGCTCTGCTGCTCTGGCCCTTCGTCCTTTGGGGGCTACACAAAGGAGCTGACTGTTAGTGATGGTGGTCAGGGGCGAAGATGAAGAGGGACGAATGAGGAAATGAAAGGTTTGCCTTGGGGCTGAGATGAAGAGACTGCTCTGAAAGTCATTATCTTGCATTTATAATTACCAGATGGGAGGGTGCTTTAATGAAGAGTTTTCAAATGAAGACCCTTTTCATGAAAGGCATTCAACTCTTTGAGTGGGTTGGCTGTTCCAGAGGAGAAGTAAAACAAAACTGGTTGAGAAAAGGACATTATTTCTCCAACTTGAGGCATGAATTTCGTAGAGAAGCCATAGACACGTTTTCAGGAAAATCTTGCTGACTCAGCAAGAGAGAGGAGGAGGAGGAAAAATGATCTGTCGTTTGCTTTATGGTGTGCTACTGGGATCTGTGCTGAAAGGCATAATTGTGTCTGTATGTGTACAAACAGGTTGGCTTTCAAGTCGGTATAAAGCAATGGCTATAGAATTACGTGCAGTACTACTCAAAGGGTGTTGTAATTCTAGCTGGCTCGGTGGCAATTGGATTAAACCCATTACGAGAGGCTCATGAGTTGTCTGGAGACTTCCTTCCATGTAATGTAGGTACGGTCTGTTTAGACTCCCCTCCAGCACTGTCTTCTGTGGAAATGGTTTTGCTTCGGCACGTCAGGCAAAATCCGAATGGTGATGATGAGTTTTGGTTTGATCACAAAAGAAAGAGGAGCTCTTTACCAATAAGTGAAAATCTTGACTTGAGTGACATTGATTGTATTCTCAGATCTGGGTTTCTTCAGGGTTTACTGGCATGAGGGAATTCAAGCACAAGTTATCTTTGTGCCCTCGTGCTTAAATCTGTCATCCTGCTTCATTTGAAACGCAGTCAGGTGCCTTTGATGGGACGGGGTCACGCCCCTTTAAGCCGTCTTCCTCCATCATAGAGACAGGCCTATCAAAGCAGGATTTAAAATTGAATTAGAAGATCATATATCCACAAGACTGTGGTTCACATTTTTAAACAGAAAGGCTTTTTTAAATGAGAACCACATATTTAACTGATTCCTTTATGTTAGCAAGATGCCACTTCTGTCCTGTCTTACACTCATAATTTAAACACTAGATGATGTGTGTTTTATAGAACCTCCAGTTGTTGGCTTAGAAAAAAAATTGTTGTGCATTCCCAGCTATTATGTGTGTTCAGTTTTAAAAAATAATGATTAAAAAAGCAGTAATAACTTTACAGAACCTTCTTTTACTGTTTATTAGCACCCACAATACCAGATGCATTATAAATCCCAGAGGCTTTATTTTAAGCAGACTACTCTGGAAAAATCTTTAAACAAGCTCTTCAGGAAAGACTGGCTATTCTAGCATGTTTTGGTGTGAGCATCTCTTTTCAGCCATTAATTTTAGATACAGTAAAACAGACAAACTCTTAGGTCTCTGTTTGGAAAATACTCTGTAAAGCAGTCAAGGTAGAACAGGGAAAATCTTCATCTGTGTAAATCTTAATCCATTTAAATGGAAGTAGAGTTCGAGCCTATAAAAATTTCTTAGAAAACAGTGAAGAGATTGATTTTCAGCAATTCTGTATTTTAATGTGGACTTAATTAGCTTTACTAAAATGGAAATTGTCCCTAAAGACTGTAGCAGGTGGCAGGTTATCTATTTAAAGAATATATCCAAGAAATTATTTTCCCCAAAGTACATGAGTGTAAGGAGCATGTGCCCTCTCAGTCTGCTTAGTATGCATGCCTTTCATTACTTACCCTGTTAAGGAAATAGCATATTCAAGTAATGATGGACAAACTTAAAGTGAAATCAGATTCAGTCCCAGAAAAACTGTGAACTCTCTTTTCTAGAGGGATGCTAGATACAAGGGAAATGATGCAGAGCGATGAGTTTTTACAATTGCATCTTCCCTGAAAGGAGACAGGGTATTGGGGAGGGATTTCTGGTTAAATCTGTGAGCAGTGATACTGGGTTCAGGTTTATCCTGTCAAGCTGCTGGATGCAAACTGCTCAGCAGTTCCAAAAATTGCATTTTCTTGCCTTTTTTTTTTTTTTTTTTGTACTGTTACTTGTTATCTCAGTTGTTTCAAATTATTGAAAATCAGCTCTGATTTTAAGACATTTTCTGCTTCCTGAAGAGAGTCATGAAACCAGATCAGCATGATGAGAAGGGGGCTGTGCCTCGGTGGAGGAGAGCACAGCAGGAAGGGCTTCTGGAGGTGTTCCATCTGTGAACAGGGACAGTGTGCTGCTCCTGCAGTTGCAAATGCACTGGCTCTTAAACTTGAATTAAAACTGAGTTTTAAACCAGGGGGAGGGAAATAGTGTCTTTTCAGTGAAACAGTATTTCACCGCAAGGTTGTGGGCTGCCCTGTGCTGATTGCAAAAGCTGCTGTTCCTATCAGAGAGAACATTGGGGCAATCAAATCTAGACTTGCGACTTTACCTGACACAAATCAAGACCGCAGTGGGATTGATCGCACGGATACATGAGGAAGTAGTGGTCATTATGCACCTGGGAAACATAAAGTAAAGAGTTTCCCTGACTTAGGAATGTCTTGCCTGCTTGAATGGTGTGTGTCATGTATTTACTTACGTATGCAAAACACGCCTATTTTATTACATGCTTATGCTGCAATAATGAAAATTATTCCTGCCTGTGACTGTAGGCAGGTTGGCATATTACAAAGTGATTACATTCTTTTCCTGTTTCCCATCTCCCACCCAAAAATTAGGCGTTGATCCTGTAATAGGTTCTATTCAGGTAAATGGGTCTGCCTGCAGGCATTGGTTTGCAGAATCAGGGGTGTTTAGTTTCTTAAACACTGCTGCAGGATGGCTCCTTATATTAAAAAGCACTGACAGCAAAAATAAAATCTAAAATCCTTTTTCCTTTGGGCGGGGTCCCCTCTTCTGGAAATTACTTGGCCATCTGAGATTGGACTTTTGAAAGATCTATGTTCAGTTTTCTGTTAAAAACATTAAGATGATGACATAAGTGAAGGTCTGGATGAAATATGACTTTAACAGTTAAACATATCCACTTACAGATTTGACAGCATGGTATGCAGAGGTCTTCTGATCAAGCAGCAGTTCACCGGATGCAGAAAAATAGCTCTGATCAGTGTGTGACCTTGAAAAGTGGTCATGGATCTTCCTCTGCCAGACTGACTGAAAGAGAACAGAGAAGTTCTGTTTTCCCAGTATAAGCTGTTGCTTATCTGGAAGACATAACTGAAAGTAGGGTTTTTTGCTGTTCTCAAATAATTGCAGTTCTCGGAATTTTACACACATGGGAATCGCTTATAAAAGTGAGCAGCTCTCTCCTCAAGGACTAGCATTTGAAAGATCTCAGTGATAGCAAGTCCCTTCCTTGAGGGCCAGAGCTCTATGTCTGTTTGATCAGCTTGTACTTCAAGGTAGATGACACCTATCCTTACATCACTTTTGAGTTTTTACTTACTTTTCCTGTTCACAGTTCTGAGTGTCAGATTTGAGTCTAGCTTTGTGGCATTTCAATGTATATTAAACCCAAAGCTTCTTTATACAATGCCAGATTAAAAGAAATGTTCAAAACCGAATAATGAAAATGTTAGGTTATCCCTCCACTGCTTTTCAGTGAGGCTAAAAATGTAGGATAATTAATTTTTAGAAATTGCAGAAGAGTAAAACTTTGTTTACCCGTTTAAAAAAAAAAAAAAAAAAGTCACAGTTTAATGAATGAGGCAACTCTGTCATGAAGTCTTTATCATGGTCACTGAAGTTTAGGTTTCTGCCTGACCTCTGCAAATAGATGGGAAACACCTCTGCTCAAACACTGTGGCAGAAAACGAAGACTCAGGAAAGCAGAATGTTTGTCATTTAAGCTAAAGTCGAAGGGCTGAGATAAAAGATTAAGCAATGCTTTTCACAGCTGAGGTATAAATGTGTGTGTTCAATGTGAGGATGTCCTTTCAAGCCTGTTCTACCTACCACATTGAACACTGTTGCCTCTGGGTATTTGAACACTAGACAACAGGCTGGAGGGATCATAAGTTTCTCTTTTTTGTGCGAATTGAGAAGGTTTTAGTAAAAATTGAATTTGATATGTAAAAAACCAACTGTTTAATATCATTCCTGAGGAATATTAGCTCTACAGTGTTTGGTTCAGTGACATCCTGTCCTGCTTCCAAGTGTCAGCCAATCCACGTTACTTTACTCTTTTATCAATATGCTGTTCAAAGAAAAGTTTGCCCTTGGCAGACATTTGAAAGACTCCAGACATTTTCACGTATTTTTCAAAACTTGAATAGTTTTCTGGGTGTTTGTGTTCTAGGGGTGATTCTTTTCGATGTCTGCTATGAAATTTTACATAAAATGACTTTGCAATGCAAATTTTTTTTTTTTTCATCCACAGATGAAATCATGCATCAGGATATCAATCCCCTCTATGCTGCAGATATTCAGGACCAGTTAAAGAAACAATTTGCTTACCTGTCAGGTAAGACTACGGTGTTCCCTTCTACAGACGTTGCTCAGGTGTATGGTTGGGCCTGTTGTGCTCTCATAGTTTTCTGAGGTCTTGTATAAGAGAAATTCATATTTTATGAGCAACTCAAAATGCGGTCTACCAAGACTTGTTATTCAAGGATTTATGAAAGCAAGTTGTTTTTTTTTTTTTTTTTTAAAAAGAAGTATAATAGCACTTTAATATTATAGTTCATTTTCCAGTATCCAGGATAATGGGATGGAATTGAGGGTAGCATAAAAGAATAAATGGGGGAAAATAAATAAGGAAGGCTGGTGAAGGGTCTAAAGAACAGGCCTTATGAGGAGTGGCTGAGGGAACTGGGACTGTTTAGCTTAGAGGAGGCTGAGGGGAGACCTTATTGCTCTCTACAACTACCTGAAAGGAGGTTGTAGTGAGGTGGGTGTTGGTCTCTTCCCCCACGTAGTTAGCGATAGGACGAGAGGAAACGGGCTTAAGCTGCGCCACGGGAGGTTTAGGTTGGAAATTAGGAAAAATTTCTTCACAGAAAGGGTGGTCAAGCATTGGAACAGGCTGCCCAGAGAGGTGGTGGAGTCACCATCCCTGGAAGTGTTCAAAAAACGGGTAGATGTGGCACTTTGGGACATGGTTTAGTCTAGTCTACCCTTGATTGGTTTAGAGTGGACTTGGTAGTGTAGGTTAATGGTTGGACTGGATGATCTTAAAGGTCTTTTCCAACCTAAACCATTCTATGATTCTGTGATGAGTCCGGTACAGGAACATGTAGTCTCCTGTAGTCAGTGCACAGGGAGCTGTAGGTACTTACCCTGAACTCCCCAGTGCTTGGAGCTGAGACAGGGCTCAAACGCTGATCTAGAGCTCTCAGAGCTAACTGAGCCCTTGCTGAGAGTTCAAGAGTGCAGTGTGGACCTCCTCGGCCCACAGGCTACGCTGCCACTGGCTGTGCTGTCAGGTTCGATACTGAAGCCCAAGCTGACACCTTGGACTTGACCAAAGCAGTGTCTGAGTGAGCACTACAGTACCATGTTCCCCCAGAGCCTCAGTGGGAGGGGTCAGGCATGTGTAGCGCTGAGTTCTGGATGGGGTTTTCAGTGTCGTATCACCACCTGCCTTTTGCAAAGGAACCTCCTTTTAGGCGCTAAGCCATCTCTAAAAGCAGCACAGCCATGTTCACACAGCGCAGTGTCTTTGATGCCCCTGGATAACCTGTGCCAGGTAGGTGATGGGGGCCTATGTTTATGTGCCATGCATGTGTCGGTTGCTGGGCTTGGTCCATCTTGATGCTGGAACCACGTCTGGCTGCTAATGGGTAAAGGAAGATAGTGCCTTTGCTCACTGATCAGGCCATGTGGCAGGTGTCTGATAAGCTTCTGAGTTTGTTTTCCTGCCCTCTTGCCTGTAAAGCTCTTGCAGGTGTGCAGCAGCGAACTTGATGGAGTTACTGCCCTGCCCTCCCTTCAGTACATGGAGAGGGAGAGCATCAGTGGCTTTGCAGAGCTGCCCTGCCTCCTTCAGCATAAAGGACATTTACCTCTCTAGGCTGAAGATGGGCTTTATGACTGTTCCTTCTTCCTTTGAAATCCCTCCCTGCATCAGATCAAGAGACATGGGGGAATGAAGCAATGTACTGCTTTGCTTGGTAGGAGCTCATTGAATCTTGTTGTACTCGTAATTAACCATTAGTTATGATTTATTCCTGCCATACAAGCTAAACTAAGTGTGGGTCTGCAGTAGTGACTGTGTTTTCTGTGGGGTGGTGGTAGCACTTGGAAATAGGATTATTTTGTTTATGAAGCTGGCTGTTCATGCTCCATTTAAGATGATGGTGTTTAAGCTACAGTTCTTTTCTGGCAGGTTTGTTTTTTGGTGGGTTGTTTTTTTTTTTTTTTTTACTTTCCAAGCTCTTCCTTCTTATCCAGAGGCAGAAAATGGTTCATAATAGTGTTATGCAAGAATCAGCCTATCTAGGAAACTCTAAGTAGGGTTTACATTATGCCCCTCTGAAGTGAGGAAGAAAACTGGTGACTACAGTAGAATAAAATCTCATTGAGTTCAACTGGAGATTGTTCACATCTTAAGATTGTTGAGTTCCCGCAGCCACAGGCATCTTCAGCACTCATTACATCCACTGTCCAGTGGAGCTTAGTAAGAGCAGCCGTTCCTCATTCTATTTTCTTCTATTTATTCACCCTTATGTCTATTAGAAGTCTTTTTGTTTTAGTTTTGCTTGCCTGAAGTAGTAGGACAGCTGCATTACTGTGGACTGTGACTATATACTCTGTTGTATTTTACTATTCTTGGGCAATTTGACTATTAGGAATTTTCATTTCACTACGGACTTCAATTCTTTTATCCTAATATTCTCCTGCAGAACACTGATGGTTAATTTTCTGTGCTGTACCAAATAGTGATGTTAGGGGTTCTGTGAACAAAGGAACAGAGCTAATATTTTGATACTCTATTTATGTACAATTTGTTCATTCTCACAGTCGTGCTTATGAGTGGCTTTGCTAGAATGCCACGTAAGACATTCGCAGTGTGTGTGAAGGAGACTTTTTTGCTTATTACTAAGTTGTCTTGGAACTAGAATCTTGGGACATGGCATAAAACTCAGTAAAATGAAAGTCCATAGATTATGAATACTTTTGGTAGATAGCATCTTTGCAGGTATGGTGAATTGCGTAATTATAGAATGCTTTGGGTTGGAAGGGACCTTTAGAGATCATCTAGCCCAACCCCCCTGCAGTGAGCAGGGACAGCTTTAACCAGATCAGGTTGCTCACAGCCCCGTCCAACCTGGCCTTGAATGTTGCCAGGGATGGGGCCTCCACTGCCTCTCTAGGCAACCTGTTCCAGAGCTTCACCACCCTCATTGTAAACAATTTCTTCCTTATATCCAGTCTAAATCTGTCCTCCTTTAGTTTAAAACCATTATTCCTTGTCCTGTCACAACAGGCCTTGCTAAAAAGATTGTCCCCATCTTTCCTATAGGCCCCCTTTAAGTACTGAAAGGCCGCAATAAGCTCTCCCTGCAGCCTTCTCTTCTCCAGGCTGAACAACCCCAACTCTCTCAGCCTGGCCTCGTAGGAGAGGTGTTTCAGCCCTCAGGTCATTTTGGTGGCCCTCCTCTGGAGCCGCTTCTTGTGCTGAGGGCCCCAGAGCTGGACACAGCACTCCAGGTGGGGTCTCCCCAGAGCAGAGCAGAGGGGCAGAATCACCTCCCTCGACCTGCTGGCCACGCTGCTTTTGATGCAGCCCAGGATACGGTTGGCTTTCTGGGCTGTAAGTGTAATGTCTTAGATGCATTTTACTTTTTAGGTTTTGTCTTTTTAACAGCAATGCAACATATACTTGAGAATCGCTTTAGTTTCTCTAACAGGATGTAGCTAGGTCTCGTGGGACGCTTGCTTGAATAGTGAATGAAACCTAGTCTGCTTCTGTGGCTAAAGGCTGTAGCTACTTTCTGTGTTTTGGTATAAATCGGGGTCACTTCTTTCTCTTGCTCTCTTCCTCTGCAGGTACAAAGCAATTAGTGTCCCTCAATCCGCTCGATTATAATGGAAATGCTACAGGGACATCCAAATTAGGCTTGAAATGAAATAAAATATAGCAAACACTTAGATTAATGCTTCAGTTTTTCATTAAATGCAGCAAAGTGCAATGAGATCAAGGTACTAGTTACTCCTACACATGCTGAAGGCTCTTGCTCAGCAGTGAGTATGCAGTCGTGTGCTCAGCTTAAATCTAATGAAAGGACAAGCTGTGGATGAGGTTTTCCATCAGTCATTCACATAACAAGTTTATAAACCCTGAAGTTAATATTTTACGTCAGGCCCAGCTGTTTACTTTTTGCCTTGGAGTTTTTTGTTTCTGTGGAACAAGGTCCTTATCTTTGCAAGAATTGTCATTACTCTTTTTTGTTGTTACTAGGCTGTATTAAACATGCTCTCTAGATGGTTCACTGTTTCACGTGCTTTACTTTTTTCTTCCTTTAGTTAGTATTTGTGCAACCACTTTTCTTCTGCATTGTAAAGGGTCTTCTACCTTTTTTTTTTTTTAGTCTTCACGAAAGACATTGCAAGGTCCATTTAAAAGTATCTGGAAAATGTATTCCTTACAGTGTCTCATTCATATTTTATATTTTCTTTCATAAGTATTTTCTTTTCTCTTTCCTTGATTGGAAGGTTGCTGTGTGACTTTCATGCCCAACTTTGCAACTATCTGTCATTGCTGTATGCAGGTACGTTAAAATAAATGTAGATGAACAGAAGCGTACAGACAGGTGTGTATGTTTATATGCATCTTAAATCGTACAAGCTGCATGATGTGCAAATGAGACTTTTGGCCACCACAAGTACTGAACCAATTATTTCAGCTCACTTTCCTTTGAATGCCTCTTTATTCATTGAACAACTTCAAACAAAGTACTTCCATTAAAGGAAATAGAAATACAAGTTCATGCTACTTGCATTTTTGCCTATCAATTCATAGTTGTCTTCTCTGCAGTTGAAAAATTTAGCATTAGTACTAGCTTTCAAAATGCTTATATCTTTGGCCTTTTAAATTATCATTCTAAATAATAACCTTCTCCTCGTCCTCTGTAACTATTTCCTTGGCTGTGCTCTTGTTCTCCTCTGTGGACATGACCTGAAAATACCTCACTGGTTAAACCGTTCCTTTTGAAGTATCCACAGGTGCTGAGTCTGTTTGTAAAATTGTGTTTGAGAGCTTCTGAGTGGATCCTGTACCACATACATTGCATCAGTTATTTTAAAATATCAACAATTTTTGTTGCTGATATAACATGTTCAAAGTTTGTGTATTGACAGTGGAAGGTGTATTACTTAGCAGTTTGTCTTGCACAGGTGTAGCCTTAACTGCTGTTTTATATTCACTGTGCTAAACCTACTGCCTGTAGAGATTAAAAAAAAAAAAAAAATAGTAGTAGTAAAGAGAAAGGAAAAACATGAATCCTTGGTGAGAGATGGCCA